CTTCCCACCTTGAAGTTGCAGGATCACAAATCGATGTCCATACATAGTACTTGAGACTTATTCCTTGAATGCGTGAACAACTGAAATCACGTTCTCTTGGCTTCTTGTGCATTTTAATGACAGGATTCAATCCAGCTGAGTACTACTTGGAATATACTTGAAGACCTTTCAGCAAGATTCGGTTTGGAAGATTCGGTTTGGGAAATGCATTCTTAAATCTCATAGATGGAGACGGTGAAATCTGGTGGTTGGAACTAATTGACCAGAGTTAGAGAAAGAGTTTGTTTTCTCCCCTTGCACGCTTCTGCTGGGCAATGGGGAGGAGGATTTTTCTGTCCAGATACCTCTCCTGCATATTCTGAGCGGTAGAATGAGGAGGTTTGTGCTACCTGAACGACATTGCCTTGCTAGTCTGAGACGTTGCACAAGATTTAGGACCAAATTTATTCTGTGATATACTGAAGCCTGAATATATGTTGCCAATCTCTCTCCTCGTGCAAAGCAGCTGAATCTTTATCTGATCCTTCTGTGGTGAAACCTGCTTGCGATGTGGAAATCAGCCACTTTGATGTGAATATATTCTTAAAGAAAATTCTCAATATTGTATCGTAGGTTTCAGATTGTAGGCGAGCGTCCAAACCTGTGTTTATCGGAGGGGCGGAAATGCCAGTCTCTTGCAGCGAACGCCTCTCCTTGCTTTTGGCTGGACAATAGTACCCACTGACAATCTTGCATCTGCTACATGTTGATAAGTAGTATTCTCTACCTGAAGTACTTTCAGTGCTTCAGTTTTGAGATTCCAGTCGTTGTTCAGACCACGATGTTCAATGCAACCGTTGGAGAGCTTTCTGCCAGTGACATAATTCAGGATCAGCTTTCTTGCTATCATTGAGATCTTAAGGTGATGAAGACTTGCATTTATGATTCCAACGATTCGAAGATTCGAAGGCAATCTGCCTGAAAAGTTTGTTCCACGTTTCTGAGAAATCTGAAGGCAATCTAGCAGTCGTATTGCATCGCGAGCAGGATCTGTTGCTCTCATGGAGTCTTGACCACTTTATGCAATGCATGGGCTTCGATACCTGTAAGAGCTTTGTTTTTTACAATTCAATTTTAGTATATACTCTAAACCATAGAAGGATTAGATTCTAAGTCGCCAAGTAATTGAGGAGGTCCGGTTCTACAGCAAAGATGATTGATAATGCACAATTTCTACAAACCACCTAATAAAAACAACTCTACAAATTCCATCCATGGGGTAAGCCCTATCCTGATCAATTTCATCTGGAGACTAACGGTTCATGCACGATCGATGGCAGATGACTCCATCTTCCGAGCATCTAAATTTTTCCAAACGCTCAAGGTATGTAAATGTCCTAAGCATCGAAGATTGGTTGCAAAGACATGATTTGCCTGCGGCAGTTGAGTCGCTCTTATGCTTCTGACACGACCGGTGGCTGATGGCTTCTGTACATCTCTTCCTTTCACTTTCCAAAATAGGCTTCTGGCGATTAAATCGCAGGCCATTACACTCCGCACATAGCGCTCAGCAAGCTACACATAAAACGCGGAAAAGCATCTGTCGAATCGGTTCCAGGAGAAATCAGATTCCTTATCTATAATTGAAGAGTTTGCAAACGTTGCCATGTTTAGCCAGTAACGACTCATGCATTCGATCTCTCCTGTCTATGAGCTGGATGTTGTAGATTACATCAATAGTTCGACTGCTGAACCGATTCAGAACGAGAAGAATCTGTATATTCCGAACTGAAGGGAACAACAGGGCTACGAGACTGATGACTGACGAGATTATAAAAATCGGAACCAGAAGGGAAATCTCCTTCTGGTTCAGATTTCATAGTAAGCATGGTCCACAGTGTAATGCCACGATACGGTCACTCCACGGCTGAATGGTCTGTATAAGACCACTGACTCAAGGAGACTATGAAGATAAGGGTTTTCTCCGTTGGTTTGTTGTACACTTTCAAGGATCTTCAGATCTTGAAGTCCTCATCGAAGGAAGAGGCAAGTTCCTCTTTGTATCTGAGCTGCAGATCAGTGGAGATATCGTTTCCTGCTGATGATCAGCGACGAAGGAAGATGATTTGCAGAGGCGAGGACTCTAGTATTTGATAAGGGCACGATCCGGATCCGAACGATCTATCCACCGAAATGCACAAAGGTTACAGAGAATGTCCAACGTAGTCCGTACAGAGGTCAGTTCAGCGAGATTCTGGTCGTCTGTGACGACAGGGATGTTCTCATTCATGCTTGCAAGGTCCGATAGGATGGAAATAGACTCGGTCCATTCCGAGGGACGGTTGCCAAGAATGTGAGGTCGGTCAGCTCGCGCGCGAGCGACGTCTTTCATGGTGGGCTGGAGTGCACATTATGCCTGTCGATTACGCTCATGGAAAATCAGAGGTAGAACTGACAGAGCAACCAACGAGCCTTCACTGATTGCCAGAGAGAACTTTCAGTGCAATCTCCGGTTCCACTTGGAGACTGCGATCCTGCACAGCAGAACAAATGGCCTTTGTCAGCATGTACAAGGAATTGTGAGTGCGTCCAAGTCTAGTTCAAACTTATCGTCGAGCGCACACATTGGAAGGTTTTGGTTTGGTTTTGTCTCTGCTTTCTGACAAATTATAGGTCTGGATTTTGTATTTTAATATAACTCGAATTACCTACGTGTCTATGAAACTGATGTTCTGAGTTGTCTCTTTGCATAGGTTGTTGTCTTGCAGCTATCTGTACACGAGAGAAGATGCACAAGCACAAACTTCAATCTACATATCCATTAATCTGTGGAAAGGTTCATATGAAGCACTTACAAAGTTACGTTGATAAGCTAAAGCAAACTGGAATCAAATATAATTCAGAGTAATGAAAAAAATTAAAATATATAGAGGTAACTAAAAATTGTAAGTAGATTCTTTTTGTGCTCGACATGCAAAATATATAGAAATATATTTCTTGCTTAAAATCTTTGAACAATAATTTTGATGAATTTTTTTGTTGAATTATATCTAAAGTTAATTAAGATTAATTTAATTTTCTTATTAACATTACATGTGTGATAAAATGATATGTGTGATAAAATGATATCTGACGTTGATAAATTTCATTTTAATGATAAATCTATCTGGTCTTATAGTTTCTTTTGTTGTTTCTTTAATCATTTTATGCTCAGCTTTCATTATAAATTTAATTTTGCATGTTTGCAAGTTAGATTTGTAACTGATGCAAGTGCCATCCAATGTAAACAAATACTTAGATGCAAATTTACTCTAGTTCAAATATTTATCATAATCAGCATCAATGTAATTTAACAACTTTTTGGCATTGTTTGACAAATTATCAAATAATAAATCATACTCCTTAATACCTTTCAAGTACTTGAAAGTTCACTACATTGCTTCCAAATGCACTTTAGTAAGATAAGATATGGGCTTCTTTATGTTGTCCATAACTAAAGCATTATAAATCATTGCACATAACCTCGAATACATGAAATTGTCAACAACTATCATGGGAAAGAAATAGCATTCACAATAACACTAGATGAATATTTAAATGCAGAAAGTTTAAATTTTGCTCCCAAAAGGTGTCTCCATACCTTAAATGAATATGTATTGATTACTTATAAATCTTTATTCAATTCCATAAAGTTAACTTTAATTCTTGATTTAAATCATTTCATAATTTAATTCTAAAAATAGTCTAGAGGATAAATTTGTATATATGTGATATGATGTATTTTATAAATTTCACATTTGTTAAATTTTCAATATTTATATCTACCTATTTTTTGACTAGATTTGTTATTGAGATAATTTACAAGAGCATTCCCTATTTTGTAGAAAATAATTTTTAAAATTTTTTCACTTTACTTAAAAAAACTAGGCATATAGCTACAAAATTGAAAATCATGAGAAAAATTTATTTTCTTTAGAAATATCATTTATCATTACTTTATGATATCTCAAATTTTTTGGACACTACATTGTTAATTCATTTTTTCATTGCACATATTTTGTTGTTGTATTGAAAAATTGAAAGTGATTAATTTAACCAAAATATCTTTCTTAAATACATCATTTAATCAAACTTTGATGAGATTTATGTTTAATCATTCATTATACATCTTCTCATGTGGATGTTTCTCAAATCCAACCATTCTTAATTGGAAAAAAAATGAAATTTGTTCTATTTGAAATCTAATTTTCACTTAAAAATTAATAATTAGATTTAAATATAATTCTATAAATATATATGAATGACATGTGAGACATTTATTGGATGGAACCATGCGTAACACAAAGAGGTTGATGGATTTCAAAATAGGGCACATGTCAACTATGTTTTAATATGGAGCGAAAGAGATTTTTATACACCATCATGAGATAACAAAAAGATACTGTTTAGAGTACGTGCAGGAGTAGGAACAAGCCAGGTGCCATGGACGCAATGCTAGCCGCTAGAGGAGGGACGGCCTACCGTTGAGGACGAATGGAATTGAAGGAGAACATGAGTTGAGTGAAGGAAAGTTAATTGCCGTGGAGTTGGATTTATGGGAGGATTTGTTCATGCGGTGCTGTTGCAGCATATCATTATCAGAGACGTGTGATCATCAATGGCAAAAGATTTTGGAGATAGAAGCATAGGGAATTGGAGGGAGATTTGAGACGAGAGTGAGTAAGCGAACGAGAAGGTGTTGGGAGAGCAATGCGGCTCACTCTACGCAGAATATATTTGTGGATCTAATCGGTGACCCTTACATTGTACTCCCCAAATTATGAAATCAGTTTCATTGGAAGCATACACGCTTGTTACTTCGTAAATTGCACTTCAATGGCAGCAGTGGATTGTAGTCTCAAAACGCTCTGAAACCATCTCTATTGACGTTTCTCTTGAAACCAAGTTGAAAGACGCTTGCACATCTTAGTTCATAATCATTCCCTTCTGCTTGGCTTCTTCTGCATGCGCTTGTGATCAGACTGCAAACCGAAAACCGGTTGATTGCCCAAGTCTTTTTCGTGTTCCAGTGGCGTTCGACCAGTACGAACTCGGTATTCGTCTACGCCTATCAAGCCTGAGCGACGAAAAGCGATTGTCAAGAGTGTGTCAAAAGTGCGGAGTTTATCGGAACCAGGTCGGCCAGAGCTTGGCCCAGCGCCGATGAGGGACCCAAGTGGTGGGCACTTGCCGGGACATGACAAAATGTGTAAAATATCTCGTCGTCGGTCCCGAGATGGAGTATTAGGACATTTCGTAGCGTGCCCATCACTAGCGACCATAGTACATGCAGTTTGTACTCGATCCTGTCAACAGTGGATATTGGCCAACTCGATGCAGAATTGCCCGCAAGGCAATTAGAAGGCCGCCCATTGCCAGCTCATTGTTCACATGTTCGAACTGCGCCAGGCGATGGGGCGTGGGCGGCCCTCAGAGATTGCGTGGGCGGCCGCCTGAATGGGCGTGGAAGGCTTTGTTGGATTCAATGAGGTTTGCAATCGGCGTCTGTCTGAAAGATGTGGAAAGATGTGGAAGGCTTCATTGTCGGTTGAATAAGAAGCTGGGTTGCTCTTCTTCAATCCATATCACAACAGAACTCAGCGACGGGAACTCGAACGATCGTATTGCAGACTTTGCCAGCCTAGCCTTCGATTATGTATGTGCTTATTCTCTACTCATAAATCCCATATTGTTGCTTATAATTATGTGTACCGCTTGAGGATTTCACGATCCCCGTATTGTTGCCCTTCTTTAAGCCATATCACAACAGGACCCAGCGACGGAACTTAAACGACCATCTACAAGCAGACTTTGCCAACCTAGCCTTAGCTATTGTATGTGGTGATTCCTTGCTGATAATCCCCTACTGTTGCTAACTCTGACGTGTGCCGATCGCAGCATTTCAAGATGACGGAGCTTTTTATTCCTCCCAAGGAAATGTTCTTTCGCCTTCGTGGCTACGTTAGCAACTACTTCCTCTACTCCCGCCACGAGCAGGAGCCTACATTCGGGCACACCCCTGGACCCGTGTACCCGGATCAATGGTGGCAGCTCATTCCGGGAACAGGGAAGTTTGCAGGGTATTATCAAATCCAGAGCAAATTTACAGGGAAGGTGATTTTCTCGAGGAATTCACCCGTGAAGCTGATCGGCCATGTCGTTGGAGACGGGAACTACGAGGACAACTGGTTCAAGATCGAGCCCGGCACCGGCAAGCTCGCAGGCTACTTCCGTCTTCGAAATTACCAAACGGACAGAGTGCTTTTCTCCCGCCTCCAGCCCGAGCCTGAGTTAAACGACTACCCAGGACACTTGAAAAGCGGCGACGACAACTACTTCACATTCATCCTAGAGGATTTGGAGATGGAGATAACCAGAGTTGAGTACCATCTTGACAAGGCGATGGTTACTGACTCCGTTTCAGAGGTCATAGGTTCAATGACCCTGAGGAACCGCGGCGCTGTCTCTCAGGTGGCCGAGTTCGAATTTACCCGGGACGAAACCAATTCCTCCTCCTTCGAATACACCCATGGGTACCCCATCCGCGTGGGAACCAGTGGAAAGGTTGCGATACCCTTTGTTGAATCCGGTCAAGTGAAAGTCGACGGAACCAAATCCCAGACGTTGAAATGGGGCACGGCAATCACTGAAACCAAGCCTTACTCCATTCGGCTCCCTGCAGTTGGTCCCTTCGACAATAAAATCACTGTGACAGCGTTCGTTAGCCGCTCCAACATTGAGGTTCCGTTCACAGTCTACTCGAGATCTGTCGCTAAGGGGTTCGAGGTTGCGACCCATGGCATCTACAAGGGTGTTACCCACTGGAACGTCCGGACCGATGTTAAGCAAGAGCGTGCCTGAAGGACCGATGCTGGGATCTCTCGTTGGCGACTGATGCTTGTGTTGTCGGTTGTGTTTCCGTTGTCACCCGGGGGTTTTCTGCTACGTTTCTGGCCTTGTGACCTCCTGTCAGTTGTGTGAACCTCCGAAAGGTATGGAATGTAGTGCTCAAGGGTATGTGGTTGTTTTAATATTTGCACGAAGGAAAGGAAGCACTTGCAGAATTCTTAAGAGGAGCCCATTACTTCAGCCGAGCACACCCTTCAGCGCTTCCGATATCTTTTGGCTACTAAAAAATTCCATACTGTAAACTTTTGCGTGGCTGCGCAGCTCATGCATTTCGTTTGATATGTTTTTCGCATATTTTTTAATAAATATGATTGACGTGTTACCGAGCTTAATCCCTTATTTCAACAGCGTGTCTACTCATGAAAACTTAAATGTAGAACTTTTAAATTAAAGATGATTGCAAAGATACCAAATCAATCTGCAAGAACATAAAATCTAATATATGTTTACAATTAAGCACAGCGTCTAATTTCTTCAATCACAGGATCGAAACCATTCTTTATCTGAAATTTTCGAACATATTATGTTTGACTATCCACTTTGAGTTTTTGAAATACGTCACCTTAACATGAGAAAAGATCAAAAACTATTTCTCACTTGGAAATGAAAAATTCTAACAGGCAATTAACCTTCTACATTCCAAATTGCTAATTTTTATAGCAACCAGTATGGCTTGGCGCCCACACAAAGCAAATCCTCGCTAGTCGAAAGGCCATAACCCACTTAGGAAATAAACAAACTCATGGCCTCTCTCCAAAGATTGAAGATAATTTTGCTGCAATAAGATATTGATATACTACGTAATCTATCCTAATATAGTCATCTGATTCTCCCGTGATTTAAGATCCACGTGGAATTGTTAACTTGGCTCTTCACTTGAGTCCATAGCTTGACTCTTCACAGTGTCGAACAATCATCTTCATCCAATCCATCAATCTTTTGTCTCAATACATCAATTCTTCTAGTACATCGATCTTGTTCAAAACAATGCTAGTAAAACTATTGTCTACACTTGTGCTAGTCAGACTTAAGCATATGGAAGATTCCTGATACATCTATTTCTTAGAGAGTCAAGTTCACTTGTAGGAGCCCCATCAGGTCTCTGAACCTCTCTTCCTTGAGTGGGGAGTAACACAATTCCAAGTGAGCGAGACTTGTATTCACTCGCGAGCACCAAAGCAGGTACTTCCTTCCTACTGGTAGATCAAGGCATCGCACATGCATTGTTCTCTAAGCATGGTTATTCTACCAGATCAAAGACAAAGTTCAACTACTTTCAAATAAAGACTGCAACATCACGTGTGCAAATGCCAAGGTACATCAATTCCTGCTCTTTCTTACTACCAATCTGCCAACCCACTCTGAGTCTCTCCTAGATCGCTCCTGATTCATCTTCCAACACTGCCGCTTTCCTTCAAAAGATCTTTGCGTCGAACAGATAAATTCAGTCTCTTCAGGACTGAAGTTTCTCCAGTTTGTCCATTGATGGATACGCTACGTATGACTTCGCGTAGATGCTGCCCTTCCTCAAGACGCATCCGCAAGCAAGCCAACTTCATCTTCTTCAATGATGTGTTGGAAGTAAGAAGTTCCCCTAAATAGTCGCCCAGTCCATCCATAAGCCGAAGGTCAAGATGTTCAATGGATCGGTGCCATCATCTCCGGCCAAAGCTTTCAGCAACAAGGGCGCTCCTCATTTCACCTCCTCAAAATACAATGTTTTCAAAGAGAGCTCTGGATCAAAGCATGTGATGGGTGCCCAACGGTCTACTCATCCATGTGGTCCGAGCAGCTTAAAAGCCTCAGCTCTTTAATCGAGTAGCACTCTTGATCAACGTCAGCCACATGCTTCACCTCACTCGAGTCCTCCCACGGGTCTCGTAGTTCTTTGCAAGTGGAAGACTTAAGACTTGAGCTTAGATTGGAGATTTCCTTGAAGTCCTGATGCGAGATTCAAGAAAAATCTTGCACTCAATCTGCAACTGCATATTCTCAAATCGGTTCCGCGAGAGGTATTCAAAATTCTTCGCAGCTGTAAAAACAAGCTCTCCACTTCGTCATCTGAACTCCATTTCACAACTTCGAGGTCTATCACTTCGAGGTGCTAGACAACAGCTTCTCAATCGTCTCCAAACTACCTCTCACTTGCTAGCCGTAAACAGCGATATATTTCTGCCACAAATATGAGCCACGTGCAGATACTCAAGGTGTTGCAGCTGCCGATTGCCTCCAGCACTCAAAGATAAAAGAACTTTGGTTTGTATGAGAGCAGGACTCATCGACGAGATATGAGGGCTGCTGTCTGTCTCTCTAGATAACATGGTGGTGACGGAGTCTCTCGAGTTGTTCGAGTGAGGTCACACATACCTTTCCAGCTTTGGCCATGCCGATGCCATGAAGTCTTCCATTATCGCGTCGCAGACTCTCTGGCCTCTGAAGAAGATGGTTATATTCTACAAAATCCCAGTGGCAAATTGCGTCAGCTCTGCTGATTTACGTGGCTGTTTCCACCGAAGAAATGTAGAGAACAGCCACAACAAAAGGGAATGCTTAATTCAGATTCATTTACATATCACTGACTACATACTTCATCATCATACGCTAAAGATTGGGCTCCTCGACCTTCAAGCAAGATTCAGACAGGACGCGGGCTCACTATTTAAATTGATGCGAACAGTGGGCTTTATTCGTCTCTGTGAAGCTCATCAATGAGCTGACCTATTCCTCGCTACATGAACTCAAATGAACTGAACCATAAGAAAGTGTCACATACATGCGATGATGCGCGGAATATCGATTCCTTCATTTTAATATGATGAAAGAATGAGACTCAGACTCGGAAGTGAGTGCAGTATCTGCGTCACTGTTTAACTTGTGTTTTCGTTTATGCTTTGATTTCAACTTCTAGAAAGATTCTGCATAGTATCTTTCGTGGACTTTTATGCACTCTAGTAGCTGAAAGGGTGTTGACACTTCAGTCACTTGTGATATTTTAATTTTCATGTTTGTATGTAGAGAACTAGTGCAACTAAACAGTGAATATACTTTGTGTGAGAACTCACACAATCGGGGCCAAGTACATAACAGAAAAAGATGGGACATCAACTTGACTCTTGTAGCTCTCAAGCAGTCATACAAGTGGACACTCAGTATTGTCAGTGTGTTCAGGGCCGTCGGGAATTATCAGGTCTTATGACATTCATGAGAAATATGAATCTCATCAATGTCCCATTGCTCAGAATTCGATGACACTGGGACACACAAGTAGTGACGACTTCGCTCAAAAGCGCGCGTATACAGAGCCCAACATGGGATGCCTTTGTCCATGGGTTCTGGGCAATATTTAGTGGGTTTGGATGGGCATAGCTTTCAAATGGGTACCAACCCATGCCCATCAATACTTTTAAAGACCTGACACGTAAGTCACCTCAGTTGCGGTGACACGTCGTCGCGAGACGAGAGAATTAAAATATTACAAACGAAATCATCACGTTAATGTTAAAATCGAGTTACATGAGAGTCTGCTCTTGATTGAGTAAAAAAATATCGTTCCGATAACAAACAATACCTTATACATTCCTTTCGTTTGTAAAATCCTCTTAAAAACTATTTATCATCAAGTAGCTGTTTTCTCAGAACTTTTCACAGGACATATTCGGCGGCAACCGCGAATAAAGTTTTGTTTGTTAGATTTGGTATAATCGGGTTAAAACAAATTACATAATATTTGAATACATGAGCTTGATTTGAATAGCATGGGTGGGAATGTTGACCTCTGAAGACCAGCAGCTTTCACAATCATAAATTACCATAACCACAATGGAGCTACAATCAAATGTTATTAAAGTGAATCTTCTGAGTCGACTTTTGATCGTATGGATTTTGATCAGACTTGTATTGTAATGTGGATGGAAGTTGTATGAAACTGAATGCTGAAAATAGAGATAATTATGAAACATAAGGTCTATTCGATCAAATTCACTACCAATTTGGTCGCTCGGTAGAAGCTCTTGCTCGGGATGAAATCTATGAGGATTCTTCAACAGCAAAACATATTCTTTTCTTCCACATCGGGTTCACTGAGTATGGTGTGGTACAGATGATCATGATCACGAGATGGTTCCACGACGATGACTCGGAAGCCCTGGCTGGACAGAAGATCAAAGGCAACGCATGATCCTAGAAACACGGAAGGTAAGCATGTGCAGCATATGCTACAGCAGTGACCAGGGTAGAGAATGCACCTGGTTGACAGGTGATAAGATACAGTCGAAGCTGACCCTGAGCGTTTGAGGGTATATCAGCTCACAAGCCGTTTGCAACCGCAGTGGCTTGATGGTGTGGGGTGAGTGAGCAGGCCTGGGTCTGGGAAGCGCAAGAGGACGTCTTTGTAAGAGGATTGTGTCTAGACGCCCCTCGCTCATTACGATTCCCGATGATACCTATCACTTTGGCACGAGGTCTGAACTACAAGGAGCTCTGCGAGGTCTGGTTATCGTCGTTCTCGAACACGAATGGTGGAAGCTTTGTTGGATTGTAAGAAGTTATCATGGTTCTAAGTTGTTCGTAGGTTGCAGAGAAGGGAATGCATGTCCCACAAAGAGAATTACACAACTCCGGAGGTCAGCTGGGGACCTAGTGAGCTGCCACATAGAGAGCATCATCATAATTGACACCTTCGTATTCTTTTCAGAGACCAGACCATGGTCTTCGGGACACTTCTTGTTCTTGGGGCGGCCGCTGCGGGGTACTACGTTTATGATAAAGTCAAGGAACAGAAAGCAAAGGAGAAGTATGCAGAACTGATCTCTGACGCAAACGATCAGCAAGAGTAAGAAGACTGGTTAGACTCTGAGTTCCGATATTTCCTGTACTAATCTTCGTTTCATAGACATGAGATATTGTTACGTGTATTGGAAGAAGGCCAGAAGCTTTGGCGTGTAAAATATGGTGTAACTGATCAGGCTCAATGTCGGCCCATGATAATGACAGTGCCGAAACAGTACGGATCAAGAAACGTGCAATCCTTGGAAGGCTGGTCTATGGGACGTATGACAGGTTCAGAGGTGCAGAAAATTACGAGGAATGGTGGACCAATGTGCACTATCGTCTTGTCCCGCTTGAGTCAGTATTGTCTGTGGACGAGCGTAATTCCTATGCAGAAGGTGCGTGTTGTATCGGACTCACATGATCCATCTCGGCCTGAACCCCATCTGAATTCGACCTTGCTTGACTGAGGCAAAAATCATATGGTTGTGCAGAACTGCAGGATGAGCTTTGTAACCAGTACTTCGGTGTCTTCCAACGAACGAATGAAAGTTTACCTTCAGCTTTGGCTCCAAACTGGGTAGTCGCCATCCGGGGAACTGACCTCTCGAACATAGAAGATATCATAAACGATCTCAGCATCTTTACGGAGACACTGCACTCTTCAACTTTGATCCCCATTCTGGAAGCTGTGGTCCGGAGTCTCGTTGCGCAACATGGGTACGACAACGTGAACGTGACCGGTCATTCACTCGGGGCCGCAGCGGGCTTGCTGGTTTGCCGAAGGCTGGCACTGGAGGGCTGTCTGGTCGAGGGCCACTTCTTCAATCCTCCGTTCACCACTCTGAAATCGCTGCTACGTGTTATTCCCAAGGAATGGCGGCCCATGAGTGAAGAACTCTGTGAAGATGGTAAGTCCCTCGCGATGGAACTTCTCGAGACAGACCCCGACCCCTACAGCAAAAGTAAAGCATTAGCCGAGTTCGCGAGACTGGCCAAAGTCAATTGGTCTCCGTATCTCTACGTGAACAAATATGACGTCATCTGCAATGACTTTCTCTCGCACTTCGAGAAAGCAAAACCCGGAACTTGCAATTATGATGAGGAAAAGTGGTATTCTTCCGTGACTGATTTGACCCAATGGGTTCTGGGAGAGACGGAGTCTTTCCATCTATTTCCTTTTGCACATTTGAATAAGATCAAGAAAACAAAGTACGGTTTCCGGCCCGTTTCAGCACACAAGCTGTGGACCTGGTTGAATCCACGTGTCGCAGGTCAATTCAAGCAGGCTAGACTCATCCCACGGCCTCATAACTTGGACGGCATGTTATGAGCACTCTCCATGTTCCAGTGTTCCCGAGTCTCGACGCAGACGCGAGCGGGGCCGAAGCCGAGATCAGGTGATTTCTCATGAAGGATTCCAGAACCACGAGTGCTTATAACAGGATCTGATAGGAAAAACAGAAATTTCGCGTGTGTAACATAGAAGTTTGTCGTATGGTATCCTCAAAGGCCTCTATCATTCTGATTCTCCACTTCCTCCGCGGCAGACAGGAACTCTGAAGCTCATATATTAAAAAGCTCCATTGCCCAAAAGAATTTCTTTCTAGGGATAAAAGATGGGTCCAATTTCGATCGATCTCGGATACTTACACAGTTGCATCACATGTAGTGTGCACTTTAGTGTGTTGATGTACTCTTTTAGGCCATTATGAGAAAGTCACACGAAGCTGGAATCGAAAGTCAAACCTTGAAGGTAGTATGTTGCTCGGGAGTTTTGAAGTAGACTGGACTGAGACTGTATCACAGCTCCCGCCAGTTCAACGGAAGAGTAACTGGGGAGATAATTACGGATAGGAAAAACGAGAGGCATGGAACGAAGACTAGATCACAAGCATAGACGATAACATCTTTTGCGTAGTGATCAAAAGCCAACAAAGTGTATAGAGAACCCACCAACTGCCCAAAGTACATAGACCATCTCTCTCCTGTAAAATGAATTCATACCCTCTATTGTAGTTTCTACGTACTCTGATAAAGGTTAAGTTACGAACTTTCTCGTTAATTTGTAGTGTTCAAGATTTGAAATGTCTCTTTCATTTCCAAATCTTATCTAAATTTTTTTTCATGAATGGTACATTTCTTCAAGTAGATTAAGGTTTATTCTATTCAATAAATGTTTCAATAAAAAAATTTTTCACATTTGTAGATTGGCTAAAGATGTATTATATGATAAAATATGTGAGTTTGAAAATGTATTTGCTTTCAGAGATATTACATAATCACTTAACATCTATATCCAATAATGTTTATCATTTTCTAAAAATAGAAAAAAGTTGACATTATTATAATCTTATTGTGAGGTGGCTAATTTTTAGATATTAAATACATTAGTATTTTTTTTAGTTTTTTTCAATAGATAGTCTTTTTCTCCACGTTCAAAGTGAAAAATCCCACAAATATGCAGATATTTTGATGTTATGCTCAAGGCATAAGTCAAGAGAGGTGCCAAGTGATTCTGAGTTGAGAGCTCGAGGTGGAAGTTTTTAAGAGTCTTTTGTGTGGAAGGTTTTCTTTTGCACATAGGTTGTGTGACAATAGTTTTGAGAAAGCAATTCAAAGGATTGTAGCGGATAGGAAATTACTTGTATGGTACTGAAAGCTTCCAGTACCATACAAATAAAGAGTACAAAAAAGAAAAAAATCTGAACGTCTCTCTTCTCTTTTTTGGTAGTGAACTTGGCCGCATTTGGATCAACGGTGCTGCTAGGCCTGACAGTCACGTCCTCCATTTCACATTCATTTGAAGACGCAATCCAATGGACCTGCAATACTCCATGGTGAAGGGATTTTAGCATCTCCTTCGATTAGTACTTCCTTTGATTCTTAATGATTATACGTGAAAGAAATCCAGGGCAAACCCACTACCTGGTACAGCGTTCTAGACCAGTCCATTTGAATCTATGGCGGGTATTGGAGTAAGGTGGAAAGCGAGCAGATCCTCCACATGGACGCCAGTGGAACGTCTGGCATGATGTGATAATGAGAAGTTTGAGAGGTAGAAGACTAGTGATTTTGAACTTTAAGGATAAGAATAGTACAAAGTAGAGTAAATAGTGGATTCGTTAGTAAATGACAAGTTAGTAGTAGTGGAATCCACTTAACTTCTTCTCTTTGAAGTTAATGTTTTTTACTTGCAGGCAGTAAAATTCAATTAGATGAGTTATGATTTGATAGAGTAAATACCTCATAACTTTTTTAATTAGTAACAAATTAACTTAAATAGAATTTTGATAGATAGAGCTTGGCACGGTTGTTTTAACGAGCCTAATAACTCTTGAAACGGTCAAGGAATCACCGAGTTATGAATATCAAAAGTGGCTGGTATGAATATGCGAAGGCGAGAAGGGCCTTCGGCAAAAGGCTCGTTGGCCGAAGTCTTTTCGGTCAAAGTCCGAAAAGGCTTCGGCCAACGAGCCTTCGGACTTCGACCTAAATCTCTTTGGTCTTCGGCCTTGGAGCATGGATCTTGCTGAAGCCATATTTTAACGTTGGGGTGTCAACTGAAGCCGAAATTTGATGAAGTTGTTAGCTTTAGCTAGGTGCACATGCCTCCAGAACTTTAGCCTCAACGAAGCTAGTTTGAAGAAGTTAATAATTCAAAGCTTTGAGTTTGAGTGAACCTTTGGAGTTTGGAGTTTGGACTTTGGACTTGAAGGAACTTGAGAGGGTATGATTCCTGTGCATCACCAAGGATCAAGTAACCCCATCGAGAGTGAAAAGGCAGGTTTATGGTTGGGATTAGGTGAGACTAATTTTAGATGAGATTAGATTATTTTTCAATGTTTTATTAGTGGAAATACCTTTTGAGCCTTGGCCTTCCAGAAGTGCTTGGCACTTTTTGTATACTATATAGTTTAGTGTTTGGAAGTTCAGCAGGGGAGTGGCATCGTGAGATTGTGTGTTCAGAACTCAAAGGTAGTGTAGTGTCCCCTTTTTTTTCTCATTGCTGATGATACGTAAGTTGGAGATTCTTTCCTCGTGTGACGGGATGTAATTTACTATGGGCTAGCTTCCCTAGAGTACTCCTGTGCAATCTTGGACTTTCCTTGCAGCGTATACGTGAGAGGTAGGCTAGAAGATTGGCAGTGATATTTGGTGTTTGAAGTGGTTAACTCTAGATGGGAGATAGCAGACCTTGGTGGTAGCAAGGTGTTTTCACAACGGCAGAGTGAAGGTACAAATAGATCATGTAATTCTTGAGTAGACTTGCACTTCCGGTAGAGGAATTAAAAAATATCAAATGTAAGTCCAAGTATAACGTGGTTTTTTAGTATTTTCTTTACTCAGGAGCCCCTTCTAGTGGATCCGGCTACAATGACAAGGTAATTTCCATCTGATAAGAGTATTATTGATGAGATACCTTAAAACAAGTCCTCACACTCATGAAATATATAATTATCAATTTTTTTTATCAAACGTTATCAAAAAGAAGCATGAATATAAATTTAACACCAAACTTATATAAAATTAGGGTTTAGAATAAATAACTAATCAACATTATATATATAGAAAAAAGATCGTATCTAATTTATCAAAAATTGAGAATTTTTAAAATTTACTTGATATTATAATTTACATTTGTAATTTTCAAACATTTAAATTCTCTAATTCCTTACATTATAAGTAATATTTGTATGCATGTTAAATTCTTTTTCATTCCAATTAATTTTATCTCTATTATTACTTAATAATGAGTTACATCGAAAGAATTATCAAAATCAAATATCAAGCTTCATTTTTCTACTTATTTCATTGGAGTAAAAACAAAATTAGTAACATCACATTTTTTATTTATGATTAAACCTAAATACTTTTTTGGACTAAAAATTTATTCATCTATTGAACAATTTATGTAAAATTAAAATATAAAAAGTATTAGTAAATAAATACAAAGAAAAATTTTAAATTATAAAAACTTGAAATTTTAGTTGAATATATTTCCTACTTTTTAATTTTTAAATTTAATTTTTTTTTTGATTTTTTTAATGCAAAAAAATATTATATAAAATCAATAAATATCTTAAGTAAGAATCATATCAATATTTAATTTCAAAATATATTCAATCATGCAGATACATTTTTTATCCATAAAATTCTAAATTTCAAATCTCAAAATTTATGTAGATGACATAATAATATAAGATAATGTTTTACATTTATTTTATCATGTGTTGTGCAAACTAACAATAAATATAAATATATGTTGCAGTTAACATAAGAAAACATAATATAATGCTATGGATTTTACATTGAGTGTTAGAAGAAATCCAAGAAATCCAAGATCACACTCATAAGATATCATCTTTTTCTCCTAACATTTTGTTGAATTCTTACAAGAATTGATCAAGGTATGCTTGAAGTGAAATATCCTTCTCTTATAATGACAAAAACCAATATAATGCAATTCTGTACAAAAATCATCTAATGAGTCCGTCTTGTGTTTTTTCTTTTGAGTATTTGTGTAATTGGAAGATGGAAGACAAATCATACTTGATTGACAAAATCTTGAAGTTTTGTAAAGTCTTGGTTAAACTTCTCTGGGAAGCTTATTCAATATTTTTTTGATGCTTATGGAATTAGATTTGATGCGGAAGATGAAACTAGGAGTTGTTCCACGGCATTTTGTAGCTTGCATTCTCTTGTTGTAATTGTTGCAATCATGTCATGTTGGAACCATTATTACTCTTGAATTTGATACGCTTGGAACTTCCCAATCAAATCTTTGCGTTGTGTATTCTAGAATAAGATTAGCAAAGCAATCTTGTCAAACAATTGTAAACGTCAAATTCTATGAAAAAACAAAAGACTAGATTGAGTAAATAACTCAAAGAAAGCTAAAAGTAAGGATTTTCTCACAAAAGACTCCAATAATACTCAAAGTGGTTAACTAGAAGTAGTATTAATAATTATAGAGTAGTAACATTGTAATAACTCACCAAAGGCTAAAACTGCAGCATAGCAGCAAAAAGGTCGAACCTATAGGGACGGAGGCAACACATAGAGTACAAAGTGTCACGTTTAACAGACTATTGAAGAGTTTGAATTCTCAGGCGACTGTCACTCCCAGAAATACTGCAAGTGCTCAACCCGGAGGTCACTCGGAGGACGCATAGTGCAGCGTAGTTCACCCCAACACACACCTGAAACTATAGAAACACAACTCAGAGGTCGGTTAGGACCTATACTTAAGATTTCAGGGGGAAAGTCTCTCACGAGTACATTCAGCGAATCTGCAGGTAGTGACTCCCAACTCCGGCTTTTACAACCCTTCCACTAGTTTTTGCTAGCACAGGGCACCCGGTTTGGACTTTCTACTTCGGATGCGGTATCTTCGTCAAACCGAAGTCACTCACACGCGGTGAACAACACACTCAACTCACAAAACGCGCAGAGAATAGAGGTCCGAACTGAGAAACTCAACTAAGAAAAGATCCAATGGCACACCATAACAGTCTATTGACGAGTTTGAATTCTCTGGCACTAGTCATTCCCAGAAATACTGCAGAGGTGTGCCCCGAGGGCGCCCTCTACAACATAACCTAAATTACAACCAAGGCTTACTCAAAGTAACAAAACTTCACTTTGGCATTAAGGGGAAACATCCCGAAGGAGTACAATCAGGAACAATCACCCGAAGGTGTAGGGACGAACTGTTCAAGTATCTAACCAGTACACTAGCTCTAGGCATTCAGCAATCACCCGCAGGTGTAGATCCAAACTGCTCAAGTATCTAACCAGTACACTAGCTCTGAACATTCGGCCGAAGGCCTTCAGCTACAAAATGCGGTATCTTCGTTGTGGTACCCCACTTCAGGTATTTTTGCGGAATTTAAAACATTTTTGGAAAACTATACCGCGGCAGCAGTGTAAAGAGCCATTGGTGCATCAAAATAGAGTGAAACTTGATGATCTCGGAGAATCTCGAAGAATCTCGTAGAATCTAGGAGTTGGGCGCAACGTCCGGGACAGACGCCGC